CCGCAACGGTTTCGGCGTTGGCACGGCGCTCATGACTGTAAGGTAAAGGTCCCGGGTTCGAATCCAGCGGCCCTGCATTCGAACCCGACATACCGACATAATTATAAATGTTTTTTTTTCAAAAACACAAGCACTCTAAGGTTTGATATGACCTCTGCTGTTGCGAACCCTCGTAAAAAAATGTTTTTAACCCATTTCGACTCAAAAATTGGGGTTTTTCACTTTATCTCGTCTCGAGCTCAACTCAAAAATAGGCGTTTTTAAATTTTCTTGAACCGAGTTCAACAGTAAAATTGGTTCAATTTATCTCCAACCTAGTTCATTTCAAAAATTTGCGTTCTTCAATTAATTGTCTTGAACCGTGTTTAAGTCAAAAATTGGTTCATTTTGTCTCCAACCGAGTTCATATTAAAAATTGCCATTTTTTAATGTCTTGAACCGAGTTCAACTCAAAAATAGGCGTTTTTAAATTTTCTTGAACCGAGTTCAACTCAAAAATTGGTTCATCTCCAACCTAGTTCATCTCAAAAATTGGCGTTTTTTAATTTGTCTTGAACCGAGTTCAACAGTAAAATGGGTTCAATTTATCTCGAACCTAGTTCAACTCAAAAATTGGTTCGTTTCCAACCTAGTTTATCTCAAAAACTGGCGTTTTTTAATATGTCTTGAACCTAGTTCAACAGAAATATTGGCTTTTTTTTTTTCAATTTGTCTTGAACCTAGTTCAACAGAAAAATTGGCGTTTTTCAATTTGTATTGAACCTTGTTCAGCTGAAAAATTGGCGTTTTTCAATTTGTATTGAACCTAGTCCAACTCATTGGTTCAAATTGTCTCCAACTTAATTCACCTACAAAATTGCCTTGAACCGAGTTCGAATAAATTAATCCTAATTTAACCCATCGTTCATTAAATCGTTTAATAGTGCCGTCATTTTAATTATAAAAATTTTGGACAATAATATAGTTACAAAAAACTTACTAATTACATGGTCAATGGTTATTGTTATGCAATGAATGCAGCATGTGTTCTGCAAACGACTTTCTTTAAGAACCATTGTGTTTAGCAGTGACAGTTGAGTACAGTGTTGTTCGTAAATGTTCTTGTAATCATCATTACGATCTCATCGAAAACGTGTAACTTGATTCGTGCTGAAATTGTCAAGTCATGTTATTTAGCAATTCGTATCTTTATACAAAGTACTTAAAGTTTAAACTTTTACAATGTGTTTCGACCTGATTTCATATTTAAAATAAATTCGCTAGTTTCTCACGTCACTTTATGTGAATTATAACACAAATTTTCGGTTATGATTTTGCATTGATTGATATTAATCGATTCCAAATGAATTTTGAACTATGAACCCGCGTGTTTAACCAACTCTACGAAACTAGGAACTTTTTTCTAATATTGGTTTTGCCGTAATATTTATTCATCTAGGAAGTGGGAGAAGCCGAGAACGAGTCGGTTAGTGTGGCCCGCTATATTCGGGAAGAGTGACTTTTTGACCCATTTACCTTTTTATCTGATTTGTTATCTTAATAAACTGTTTAATATGATGATGGATCGATATTTTATGCCATAACTATGTTGTATTAATAGTTATATCAAGTTACATATGCATATGGGTTACACAAATGGTTAAATGAATTTTTAACATTTAACTCTCAGCCTTATTCCGCTTTTTTGTTTGGCCTGTAGACATACTAAGTCATTTACATTTATCAGTTTACAACTTTTCGTAAACCTATGGCTAGATTTTCGAAACTTCGTATACAGTGGAGTCTTAACAAGCCGAAAAACGGCGCAGTGGAAAATCTTTCGTTCGTTTTTTTTTTAATTTTCCAGATGTGATGGTGTTAATGGTCAATCAATTTGGCCTGTAGTACTCCAAAGTTAATTGAATTTAACTTGCAATTTATTGTTTCTCTATCATTTTGTCTTCCTTGTCCTAGCTGTTTCAGACAAATTTCGGCTTCTTGCCATCTTCAGTGGGCTTTAACCAGTATTATATTAAAACCGAAAATGGCCAAAAAACGAAAAGCATCTGAAAGGCCAAACCGGTGAACCAGCCGAAATGATAAAAAACGACCAACTTTGTATGGCTTTTTCAAACCTTAAATCTTTTTAGTTTTCACTGATCAGATGTATCTATAATAAGTACATACATTTCAGAGAGAGAGAGAGAGAGAGAGAGAGAGAGAGAGAGAGAGAGAGAGAGAGAGAGAGAGAGAGAGAGAGAGAGAGAGAGAGAGAGAGAGAGAGAGAGAGAGAGAGAGAGAGAGAGAGAGAGAGAGAGAGAGAGAGAGAGAGAGAGAGAGAGAGAGAGAGAGAGAGAGAGAGAGAGAGAGAGAGAGAGAGAGAGAGAGAGAGAGAGAGAGAGAGAGAGAGAGAGAGAGAGAGAGAGAGAGAGAGAGAGAGAGAGAGAGAGAGAGAGAGAGAGAGAGAGAGAGAGAGAGAGAGAGAGAGAGAGAGAGAGAGAGAGAGAGAGAGAGAGAGAGAGAGAGAGAGAGAGAGAGAGAGAGNTCTCTCTCTCTCTCTCTCTCTCTCTCTCTCTCTCTCTCTCTCTCTCTCTCTCTCTCTCTCTCTCTCTCTCTCTCTCTCTCTCTCTCTCTCTCTCTCTCTCTCTCTCTCTCTCTCTCTCTCTCTCTCTCTCTCTCTCTCTCTCTCTCTCTCTCTCTCTCTCTCTCTCTCTCTCTCTCTCTCTCTCTCTCTCTCTCTCTCTCTCTCTCTCTCTCTCTCTCTCTCTCTCTCTCTCTCTCTCTCTCTCTCTCTCTCTCTCTCTCTCTCTCTCTCTCTCTCTCTCTCTCTCTCTCTCTCTCTCTCTCTCTCTCTCTCTCTCTCTCTCTCTCTCTCTCTCTCTCTCTCTCTCTCTCTCTCTCTCTCTCTCTCTCTCTCTCTCTCTCTCTCTCTCTCTCTCTCTCTCTCTCTCTCTCTCTCTCTCTCTCTCTCTCTCTCTCTCTCTCTCTCTCTCTCTCTCTCTCTCTCTCTCTCTCTCTCTCTCTCTCTCTCTCTCTCTCTCTCTCTCTCTCTCTCTCTCTCTCTCTCTCTCTCTCTCTCTCTCTCTCTCTCTCTCTCTTTCTCTCTCTCTCTCTCTCTCTCTCTCTCTCTCTCTCTCTCTCTCTCTCTCTCTCTCTTTATTTCTTTCTTTCTTTCTAAGTCCGTGCATAAACATCTTTACACCTCACCCAGAATTAAGACACAAGAACCCATCCAACAGGACCTGCACCATTTACGACTCTCTACTCCTCCTAAACACATCATCCTCTATCAGAGTTCAAATTCATCACCAGTTACCACCCAGTAAAACAATCCGGTTTGAACCTGGTCACCACAAAAATCCTCCGAAATCTCACATAATACTTTTGTACTAGTAAGTCGTTATTATTACACACTTCCCAAAACATTGGAAATTATCAATCATAAACCCCATTCCCAAAGCTCAAAATCCTCAGAATTTCTTTACTCCAGACCTTATCTGTTTACTCTCTTTGGTCGGCGAACTCCTTGAGAAACTATCAATTTGGGTGACATCACGCTGCCATTGAACAGTGCCAACGTCACATCCATGAGCAGGAGCAATGCTGCTCACGTGCTTTCCTAGGCAAGCGTGGCCCTAGGGCTTGCTCCTAAAGCTCAATGTATCCTTTCATTCAGTACGAATCGGAACGCTACGCAGAAGCGGGTGTTCTACAAGGCAGCATCCTTAGTCCGATTCTGTATACAGTATACATTGCATTCCGATAGAGTACACCTCAGAAAATACCCTTTCAACTAATCCAGATACAATACTGGCCATCAGAAACCTCAATGATATCTCCTGTTTGGAAGATTGGTCTACAAGTAGATGACCAAACGAGGAAAACAAGTCCTTATGACTCTCCTCCTTCGTCGAATCACCTCTCGAATTTACTACAACTATGTACATCTCTCAGCTAATTCGACCACTATATGAGACTTTAGTTCGACAAAAGACTTAATTTTTACACCAACTATATGATTAAAATGATAGAATTGAACAAACGATACAAACCGTTTGAAAGACTACTACTATTACTACTGACTTAATATTTTTAAAACCTGTTTAAATGGAATTGAACTGTGAAGTTCAACCAATCGTTCTAACCTCCAGTTTCTGTCACATCAGTCCACAATCCTTCGAAACCTTCGTCCAAGCTTTCTACTAACATCCAACCTTATTCGCGCAGACCTTCAAAACCCCTTTGCCCTCGAAAAGTGAAGAAGTCGATACGGACGCCTCCGTAAAATTCTGAACTTTTATCCCGATCCATCCTTTTTGCAAGTTTTATTTGTAGGGGCAATTTTTTCCGGTCGATTTTCATCTGTCTGTCAAAAACAGGCTTTTTATTGTTACTGTTACAGAGTAACCAAATAAAGAGCGTGTTGCAACGTCACGACTGACAGTGCAGCATCATCGGATACTCAACCCCCCCCCCAAGGTTTACACAGTGCCCGATCAGTACACCTTGTGTACAGCACACGTGGCAAACAAAGGTTACACGTGCTTTTTCTAAAGAATCTTCGATCAACATCCTCGGAACTGACATCCGTCAACCTTTCAGATTTTTCTAAGCGTTAAAATGAAACTTACCTTCAAATGAAACACAATCAATATTTTAGTTTAGCAATGTGTGGTGATTAGTGACCGTTAATCGATAATTATTCAGAAATCGCAGACCAGACCACATCTCACGGTTTCTGAATAATTTTAATTTAGCGTTTAACATTCAAAAATTTCGTTAATAACTAGTCATTACACTATATTATCGAACATTTTTTGGCACTTTGACTTGTCTCCTTGGTTCCCTGATCCGTGTTCTTTTTGTCGTTTATATGTGTTTTGACAAAATTCGAGAGGTGCGAGTGACCATGGTTGACGCTGTCAAGCTGAGCGAAAATTGGCAATCCAATATTTTTCTAGGGTAGATTAATCATCCACATTTCTCTGATCGTTGCAATAATATATTTCTTTTGTTTTCAGCAAAAGACTACATGACTTTCGTACCTGCTTTAAAATTGAGTGATATACCAGACACACACCTCCTATCCGGAATATACTTACCAGGTAAGATAATTTTAATTAAACCTTTTAAACTTAATTTCCATTGGGTTGAAAATTCTTTGATTAATTTTAATCTCAAGTTACTTGTCGTTTCATGGTCTAAAATTTTGAAAAATTGAATGTAAAGAATCCAAAGAAGGTAGAAACTCCCAGATAGGATAGACCTGATATGGCTTGTTATTGAAAATATTAGACACAATATATTAATTTTTACCGAGTATTTATCATCAATTTTTATAAATAAACTTTCTAAAGTATTCAGTAAACATTTATCCTTATTGTTCAATAAATCTTTAAAAAACGGTAAATTTCCACATAAGTGGAAGCTTTGTTGGTCCAGTACACAAAAGTGGTGACAATAGGTTGATTGGCCAAATAACTTCTTTCAATTAATTAATCTTTGTGTAAGGTATTAGTTGAAATGAAAAAGTCAGTGTCACGAGCGGGATTCGAACCCAGCCTTGATACGCCGCTACTCTACCACTTGAGCTATCGTGACTTCGATCCACTCGGGCATTAACTTCCCATCTCAACCTCACCTTTTTGAATTTTCCCTCCCTTTTGCCATTTTTCAAATGTCGTGTAATCTATTTGATTAAAAATAGGGATCCTCATATTTTATGACACTGTATAAAGCCATTTTGCACTGTTGAAGTTATTTAATTCAATTTTATATTAACTATTGAAGTTTTACGGGAAGTTGGATCAAGTTTAAACCGGCCACTTTCGCCGGCCTTGTTGTCTAGTTTTACTCTCTTAGATTAATAGAAATTCCCATATCGATTTACCAATCCAGAATCAAAAGGGACCAGGATTTGCGTTTTGGAAATATCCTGATCTTTAGACACCTGGCAGGTGTTTTCAGATTTGTAATTTTGACGTCGGATGTCTTTTTTTTTAATGCAATTTTCAAAATGAATCATCCTTTAAAACATTTTATAAAAATTACGAGATGGTATGAAATATAAGCTTGTAAAGTAAAATTCTTGTATATTTAAGAATTAATAAAAAATTTATATCAATATCGAATAATTGGACTCCATTAATGAGACCGTTAATTAAAATTAAAATTTTATTATATTTAAAAAAATACTAAATATACGGTAATATTACTTTTAAAAAGAGTTAGTACGAAGAATGAAAGAACCCATTTATCTTTTGAAGATAAAAAGTATTATGTTTTAGTTAAAAAGGGTTATTTTGAAGTTAAACACGCTAATTTGTAGTGAAAACCCCCATTTGAAATTACAAAGATTTAATTTGAAGTTAAAAAGAGTTAGTATGAAAAATGAAAGAACCTTTTGTTCTTTTGAAGTTAAAAAGTATTATTTTTTAGTTAAACAGGGTTATTTTGAAGTTAAACGCGTCAATTTAAAGTGAAAAACGTCATTTGAAATTACGAAGGGTTAATTTGAAACTAAAAAGAGTTAGTATGAAGAATGAAAGAACCCTTTATTCTTTTGAAGTTAAAAAGTATTATTTTGTTGTAAAAATGGATATTTTGAATTAAAAGGGGTTATTTTGAAGTTAAACACGTCAATTTGAAGTAAAAATGTCATTTGCAATTACAACGGTTTAATTTGAAGTTAAAAAGAGTTAGTATGAAAAATGAAAGTATCTTTTTTTCTTTTGAAGTTAAAAAGTATTATTTTTTAGTTAAACAGGGTTATTTTGAAGAGAACCCTTTATTCTTTTGAAGTTAAAAAGTATTATTTTGTTATAAAAATGGATATTTTGAATTAAAAGGGGTTATTTTGAAGTTAAACACGTCAATTTGAAGTAAAAATGTCATTTGCAATTACAACGGTTTAATTTGAAGTTAAAAAGAGTTAGTATGAAAAATGAAAGAACCTTTTTTTCTTTTGAAGTTAAAAAGTATTATTTTTTAGTTAAACAGGGTTATTTTGAAGTTAAACGCGTCAATTTGAAGTGAAAAACGTCTTTTGAAATTACAAAGGGTTAATTTGAAATTAAAGAGAAATTCCTGTACATTTTCGAATTTTTTCAAAATTTCTATTTTGGAGGGGGTCAGACTAGAAAATAAACCCAGGGACGACGTGGGAATCGAACCCACGACCGCCCTATCCATATGGCAATATTTCCTAAAGAAAACAAAACCCTAAACATCCTTAAACACGATCGCGACCTGAGCCGAGTCGCCTACCGCGGTAATGAAAGGGTTAATAAGTTAATTTGATAGAAAAAACATATAAATTATTTATTTACCAATGTTGCATTACTATAAAAAGTGACACCAAACGTAAATATTTAACCCGAGCTATTTAATTCTGGGTAGGTGGTTTGAAAGTGAATATCGTGCTCGGAAGAAAGGACTTAAGTGGTTAATCAAGCTAATGGATAAGGACCGGTGAACCTGCGAAGCCTGCCTTTTAACAATAATGACTATTTGTGGGAAATTTAAGTTGGTCATCAGTGCTGTTAAATCACGCTAATTATCGTTGTAAGCCCTGCTGGCATACTTTTTGACAGGAAACGACCGAAGTAAAACACAGTGGTAACGTTTTTAAAAGTTTGCTTGGACATTTTTGTCATTTCATTCGGAACGTGATAAAAGTAGTAACTGTTATTTTTGTATATTACATTAATTATATTATAATTAAACGTGTTGCGATAAATATGACGACAGGTCGAAAATATTGCGATTAGAAAAAGCCCACGGTCCCGTCATCGGCAAATATGATTTAAAACGTTCTCCCCAAATGGCGCCGTAACGGTCCAGACGTTTAAAAAATCGTCTTTCCGAGCTCTGCCGTTATCAGCGGCCATATGGCGACTGGTGATATTCAAAGGTTTCTTCAAGCTCTTTCAAGCAGCGGCTTTAGCGGTTTATTATTAAAATTAGAACGGATTTTCTTTGAGTGGGTGTGGTTTGCCGGCGGTGCACGCAGATGACAAACTGCCCGACACTTCACGACCAACTAGGGTGGCTTGTACAGTTGTAAAGATGTATTTCGTCCTGTTGGACGTCGCTACCGGACGTCGTGTATATTTCAAAGTACCAGGACAAATGGTGCGACAGGATCGTTTTGTCAGTTGTGCCAAGAGACCGGACACCGGGTACCGCTAAGCTTAATCGCAATTTGCAAATCCTTACAAGGCTCATCTCACCATTCGACAACCCCTTATTGCTACGCCGGTCTGTAATTGGCCTCCCGTTTCAACCACTTCAAACGTCGAGGAATGTTTGTTCCACTGCTTAAAAAAGATGCTCAAATGCTTAAAAATATATTGCTAAGTAACTTCTGACTGATGAAGAAGAAACTAAACTATTCACATCTGTTTACTTACCCTTTGAAATGTTTTAGCAATTCTAAATTAAACATGTTGTAAATCATTAATGTATAATCTTGAGAAACCCAGGTTTGATGCTTCCGCTGTCTTTAATTTGGCCTTTCATCTCGATAATTTGTAAAGCTCTTCTACAAAGCAGTAAGGAAAATGACAGAAATTTCTCATGCTCGTACAGTTTCGTGCAACATTGTAATGTCTTCATTTAGAAAATAATAATTCGCTATCTGAACCTTCTCCATTGTATTCAAAGGAAAAGTAAGGTCGACGTTCTATGCAAAGTAAATAAAATTTCCTTATCATTCGTTAACCGGTCATAAATTGTCAAATGGTTTCAATTAGCAGGGCTTAAAGTTGGTTTTATTATCGTGCATAATCATTTTAATAGAAACGGCTCTGAGTAATTAAGAAAGTGATTTGATGAGAAAATTGCTTTTACAATTAACATATAAGATAAGCATAGATAACATTTATCTTTTTTAGATGGGCGATACAATTATTTTGGGGAAAAAATTCGTCTTGACGTTCGACCTTTTCAAAGAATTCGGAGTTATGACGGATTATTCAAGCCTAAATTTGATGAACTTATATGTTGAAAAGGTCTTGGTTAATATGGAAAAGTTAGTGTCACGAGCGGGATTCGAACTCACGACCTTCTGCTCAATATGCTGCTACTCTAAACACATGAGCTGTCGTGACCGATCCACTCAGATGCTCCATCATTCATCTGAACGAACACCTTAGATAAAAATAATAAATAATTGAAAGAAGTAATTAGATCAATTAGACCAGTAAACATTCATGGATTATTATGTTAAAAAGATGGCATAGCTTAAAAGGTACACAACAGTCATGTTGGGTAAACCATGTTTGATTCTTGAACTTAAACAGTGTCGTGTTTAAAATGCCTACGTTTTTATTTGATATTTTATTGAGTAAGTATTCATACCTTCATTTAATCCTATTTAACTTTCACCCAAAGGTTTCTCCCATCCAATGTAAAATCATCATCAGGAAGCTTCCTCGTAAAAAAAGACAATCATAGCAAGATCAACCCCGGGGGCCGGTAGCCGAGTGGTTAAAGCGTCAGACTCTGGGCTAGTAGATCCCGCGGTCGTGGGTTCGATCCCCACCGTTGCCTCTGGACTTTTTCTGACGCCTAAGGGGACCGGTGGCCGCAATTGAAAGAAATTGACACGGCACTCATCAATGGAAGGGGCGACCCTGAATTTGGTCCTAACCCCCTTCAAAAATGAGTTTTTTCGATGGAACATGATATTTAAAAGAAAAAAAATTACTGCTGTTTTTTTTTTTTTTAACATTAAAGGAATCTGTATTATGTAGGTGTAAAGCTGTACTCTGGAAGTCTAAACTCAGTTGTTCCATCCTCTTAGTAGAATCGTTATGTCACAAATTATATCACACCAAGTCCATTTAAAGCCGTAAAAAGTTGAGTTGATTGATAGGAATTCCTTTTACCTAATGGCCGACGCGTACTTAAAATGTTTTCCTCCCTCGGGCGAACTTCATCCATCAGGGTGACTTATTAAGAATCATTTGTTTTTACGTTTTACCCGTCTTTATTTTTCGTCCGTTCTGTATTTTATTTGCTTTGACGCTGGCAGTTAAAGGAAGGGGGGCGCGTGTGTGAGATGCACTTTGCCGGATTACTCCACTAAGATGGATTGACCGCA